AACACTCCACCCTAGCTCACCTGTCTCTGCTACTGCTCTAATTACTCTGCCAGCTGCGCTGCATTACCCACTACCTCTCCCAGTATTTAAGGCCCTGTCTTTCAGCTCTCCGGTGTCAGATCGTCTGCAAAGCTCACACCCGGAACCTGTTTGCTCGCGCTTCTGGCTCACCCTGGTTTTGTGACCCCGGACCTGCCTGATTTTTGGATACTCTTCTGCCCCAGGAGATCCAGACCTGCTTCTGCCATAACGACTCCTGACTACTCTTCAATCCCGGTAACTCTGACCAGCCTTCTGCCTTGCTACTACGTATTTTGGATTTCCCTTGAACTGTACTGCTGCCTTGTTTCATTCCGCCTTGTTGTGTCTGTGTCTCCCCCCCCCAGGACTTCTGGACCACCCACCACCGGCTTCATAGGACGCATCGCTGCCACTGGGGGGGGCACAGACCCAGCACATTGGACGGGATCCCTGTTACCCCTGGAGCCTTCATTCACTCCCTACTTCCCTTTTCCCTTAAGTTTTAATAAACTTTCTGGTGTGACGCAATTGTGGTCCTCTGGTCGTCTGTCTGAACCGTGACAGTCATGTGTTATCATCATTCTAACAAGTCCACAGATTGACAACTGTTAGGCCCAACTTTACTTGTTTGTCACATGAAAGACTTGCAAGTATTCTGGAACAGTATGCCGGTGACATTTGAGAGCTTCTCCACAGCTAAACTGGGACCCTCTACAGTGCCAAGGTGCATTAGGGGAGATTAGTGTCAACATATGACCAAAACAATGTCTGAACTCCAGTAACTGATATCCTTCACAGAACAGCATTTACACAACATTAAGAAACGGTTCATCACAAGTGACCTATTCTATAAATACCCCATGAAATTCAACCCACAGTTTTGGAAGGCTTAATTTCCATTGTGACTAGGTTGCCATTCATACTTCCAATACTGCATTCAATTAGAGAACAGAGGTCTTAATCAAGAATGAAATATTTATGTACATTATAAAATAATACTAGGCATAGTTACATTTATTAGATTATCCCCTTTATGTTCAACAATGGCCACAATCACTTGACTAAATTGATAAGTATTTTTAAAAATCATTCATTTCAGTGAAACCACAGAAATATCAGTGGCATCTACACAAGTTCAGTATATTTGTGTGTTAATGACACAGACACAAGATATCAAATCAGAGGTAAAAATACATGGCCAAACAGTCTAAAACTAGATGACCAAATAGAGCAAGTCATTGCTGACTGGACACTTATCTCTCTCTATATAAGAAGCCTTGCAGAACTCCAAGGGCTGACAGGAAACCAGTCAAGGTGAGTTCTCATATTAGAATTCTTATATACAGTGCATTCGGAAAGTATTCAGACCCCTTGACTTTTTCCACATTTTTTTAAACGTTACAGCCTTATTCTAAAATGGATTAAATAGTTTTTTTCCCTCATCGGTCTACACACAATACCCCATAATGACAAAGCAAAAAACGTTTTTTATAAATTTTAGCAAATGTATAAAAAAATTTAGCACATTTACATAAGTATTCAGACCCTTTACTCAGTACTTTGTTGAAGCACCTTTGGCAGCGATTACAGCCTTGAGTCTTCTTATGTATGACACTACAAGCTTGGCACACCTGTATTTGGGGAGTTTCTCCCATTCTTCTCTGCAGATCCTCTCAAGCTCTGTTGGATGGGGTGCGTCGCTGCACAGCTATTTTCAGGTCTCTCCAAAGATGTTTGATCGGGTTCAAGTCCGGGCTCTGGCTGGGCCACTCAAGGACATTCAGAGACTTGTCCCGAAGCCACTTCTGTGTTGTGTTGGTTGTATGCTTAGGGTCATTGTCCTGTTGGAAAGTGAACCTTCGCCCCAGTCTGAGGTCATGAGCGCTGTGGAGCAGGTTTTCATCAAGGATCTCTCTGTACTTTGCTCCGTTCATCTTTCCCTCGATGCTGACTAGTACCTGCCACTGAAAAACATCCCCACAGCATGATGCTGCCACCACCATGCTTCACCGGTGGGATGGTGCCAAGTGTCCTCCAGACATGATGCTTCGCATTCAGGCCAAAGAGTTTAAGCTTGGTTTCATCAGACCAGAGAATCTTGTTTCTCATGGTCTGAGAGTCCTTTAGGTGCCTTTTGGCAAACTCCAAGCGGGCTGTCATGTGCCTTTTACAGAGGAGTGGCTTCCGTCTGGCCACTCTACCATAAAGGCCTGATTGGTGGAGTGCTGCAGAGATGGTTGTCCTTCTGGAAGGTTTTCCCATCTCCACAGAGGAACTCTGGAGCTCTGTCAGAGTGACCATCGGGTTCTTGGTCAGCTCCCTGACCAAGGCCCTTCTCCCCCAATTGCTCAGTTTGGCCGGGCGGCCAGCTCTAGGAAGAGTCTTGGTGGTTCCAACCTTCTTCTATTTAAGAATGATGGAGGCCACTGTGTTCTTGGGGACCTTCAATGCTGCAGAAATGTTTTGGTACAATTCTCCAGATCTCTGCCTCTACATAATCCTGTCTCAGCGCTCTACGGACAATTCCTTCGACCTCATGGCTTGGTTTTTGCTCTGACATGCATTGCCAACTGTGTGACCTTATATAGACAGGTGTGTGCCTTTCCAAATCATGTCCAATCAATTGAATTTACCACAGGTGGACTCAATCAAGTTATAGAAACATCTCAAGGATGATCAATGGAAACAAGATGCACCTGAGCTCAATTTCGGGTCTGAATACTTATGTAATAAATTAGCAAATATTTCTAAAAAACGTTTTTTGCTTTGTCATTATGGGGTATTGTGTGTAGATTGATGAGGGAAATTTTTTAGAATAAGGCTGTAAAGTAACAAAATGTGGAAAAAGGGAAGGGGTCTGAATACTTTCCGAATGCACTGTAGCTTTGGAAGAGCCAACAGCTCAATGAGTGATGTTAAGTATATGTTAAGTATATGTTAAGTATAGGTGTTTATAACAAATACTTCCATAGATGGCAGAATAGGTGGCATGATGTAAGGATGATTAGTATGTTTTTTATTTACTTTTTGGTATAACATGACTTGAAAGTGCTTGAGGCGTCACTACAGACCCCCTGGTTCGATTCCAGGCTGTATCACAACCGGCCTTGATTGGGAGTCCCATAGGGTGGCGCACAATTGGCCCAGCGTCATCCGGGTTTGGCCGGTGTAGGCCGTCATTGTAAATAAGAATTTGTTCTTAACTGACTTGCCTAGTTAAATAAAGGTAAAATAAATAAATAAAAATATAAATATCAAACTTGAACAATATCCACTTGGTTTTCCTTCTTAGTATTTTCAAATCACATTTACATCATTTAGCAGACGCTTTTATCCAAAGCGACTTACAGTTAGTGAGTGCATACATTTTCATACTGGTCCCCCGTGGGAATCGAACCCACAACCCTGGCGTTGCAAGCGCCATGCTCTACCAACTGAGCTACATGGGATCACCTTCTCAGTACAAGTACTTTTCTCTTGGAGAAGGAAAGCAGGTAGATTAAATAATATTTGCTTATTGATCCATCTTGTGTAGTGTTTATTGCTTTGAAAATGCATTTGTCTAATTCATTGCAATGAAACTAACATAATTTATTTGCATGTATGTATATGGTCTCCCGAGTGGCGCAGTGGTCTAAGGCACTGCATCGCAGTGCTAGCTGTGCCACTAGAGATCCTGGTTCGAATCCAGGCTCTGTCGTAGCCGGCTGCAACCGGGAAACCAATGGGGCGGCGCACAATTGGCCCAGCGTCGTCTAGGGTAGGGGAGGGAATGGCCGGCAGGGAGGTAGCTCAGTTGGTAGAGCATGGCGTTTGCAACGCCAGGGTTGTGGGTTCGTTTCCCACGGGGGGCCAGTATAAAAAATCTATAAAAAATGTATGCACTAACTGTAAGTCGCTCTGGATAAGAGCGTCTGCTAAATGATGTAATGTAAATGTATATACAGTGGGGTCAAAATTATTGACACCCTTGATAAAGATGAGCAATAATGACTGTATAAAGTAAATAATTCAAATACTGAGCTATACTGTATGCTCAAAATCTTTTGTAAATTATATTTCCGCCGAAATGGAACGTAAAATCACAGAAAATATATGTTGTAGTGGCAGCTGCAAAGATGTATTTGGGTATACGAGATTTAACTTCAGAAGAGTTACAGGGTGTGTTGAGAGGTGGTGTCCCATCCTACCAGGCCGTTGGCATGGTGCAGGAGCAGATAAGGTCAAAGTAGTGGAATGGGGTAGTGGGTTTTTAATGAGTGTAGGTGGTGGTGTCTAGGGCTATATTTCACTTCTTAAAGGAACAGCCGTGCCTGGCTTCACACTCCAGTACAGTAGGTGACGATGTATACACCTAAAAGTTGAATGCGCTCCACCAATCAAATCCCAAAGAAGACGAACCTGGCAACGCTTGGCATCCTGGGAGTGGCGGTTGATTCAATATGGCTGCGGCAGAAACGGGAAAGAAGAACTCAGGAATCTTTTGGATTAATGACAGTATCCTTTTACTTGGTCTCTATCAAATACAGCCCCCGTATTTTGTAGTCGATATTGTCAATATGTTGATGAAGGTTGGATATATTTAACTAACAAGTCGGGTGTTGTGAACTTGGTAACTAGCTACTGTAGCTAGTAAACTAGCTAAATTATGTAGCTAGCTATAAGCACTAACGTTACGCTAGCCAGCTAGCAAGGGGTTTATCACCTGGCTGGAAAACTGATCGGGAGCTAGTTTGTTAGTCAAGGGATGTGATATACTTTGCCAGAAGATACCGACCCTACCGTTACGCTTGTTTACGACTGAGCTGCATTGAGGTAGTAACGCAATCATGTCGATTACATTAAGAAAGACACCATGGTGCCGGTTGGAGATATGGGTAGAAAATGTACCACAATTCATGGATTGGATTTGCCTGGAAACTTGACATTGAATTGCATTGAATTCTACTTCCGGCAGAAATTAGCGTTTGAATCAGGAAACTTTCCTCTCACGACCTCTACAAGCCAGAATGTTGAATAAAATTATATTTTAACATACTTTACCAGTTGTCCAGGTGGTTGGTCCTTTTGGCGGTAGGAATGTGAGACGATATATCCACAAGAAAGTATAATTACATAAACTTACATGCACAAGAAGCATGCATACTTGCGGAGCTCGTGCAGTTATTTGCATGGTTCTGAGCATGCACCAAGTGGTAGAATATGAAAGGACTTCCAGCGCATTGAAAAGTTGATGTAATTATACTTTCCTGTGGATCTATTGCAGATTCAAATGCTAATTTCTGCCTGACGTAGAATTAAATGTAAGGATGGGATATGCCACAGTACTCCATATTGTATCTACACTGCTCCATTGAGAAGATTGAAATATTGCTAGTTTTTACCAGAATACTGCAATTTTCGTCCTCATGCTAATTAGCAGTAGCCACTGCAGCCAATTTGGAATGGCAGTGTCAGCCAATCAGCTCCTTTGTTGTTCAACGCGATGTGCCATTCCATAGTGGCTACTGGTAGATAGCATGAAGACAAAAAGGGCAGTTTTTCCTGGGAAAACGAGCAGTATTTATATATTCTCCATGGAGTAGTGTAGATAAAGATACAATTTGGAGTACAGTGGCACATCCCATACCTGCATTGAGGTACAATTTCCGACCCATATCGCGCGGTGGCTCCAATGTCTTAATGTAACCATGATTGTGTTCCGACCTCAGTGCAGCTCAGTGTAAAGAAGCGTAACGGTAGGGTCCGTTTCTTCTGGCAATGAATGAAATACCTTGTCAAATGTTTGTAGTCCAGTGTGGCTCAGTTGGTAGAGCATGACGCTTGCAACGCCAGGGTTGTGGGTTCGATTTCCACGGGGGACCAGTGCGAAAATGTATGCACTCACTACTGTAAGTCGCTCTGGAGAAGAGTGTCTGCTAAATGACTAACATTTAAAAATGTAGCAAATTTTAGCTAGTTAACTAGTTAGGTGTCCGCTTTCTTTTATTGGGAAGTTGGCTAACGTCGGCTACTAAACAAATGCCAGCGACTTGTTGAACACAGTTCAGTGGCTTGCCTAAGCCATTTACAACATGCTGATTTTTATTGAAGTGAGGGTCTTGTTAGAGACCATCAAATATATTTCCTAATTCAATTCACACAGCATCAGATGAAGACCAACCTGTGGTGTTCATTCCAGGTGATGGCATTAGCTCTTGTTGTCAAAACCATGTGTGAGATTGTTCTGACCACTTTTCCTATTGCTGGCTGCTAACGTTACTGCATTTTTCCTTGTCTCTCTCTTTCTCTCAGGAGTGAGCAAAGAAGGACACTTGCGGACAGCTTTTAAGTTGGGCTCAGGCACCAACAGCAGTGAAACAACGGTGAAGATGAGGGCCAAATATGGCTGTCAGATCCGAGGAGAGGCCCCTCTGAGACGGGGCAATAAAAAGCGAGGCCAGCCGTTTTCCCTGTCCTCTGTCTCTGAGTCCTCCATGGGTAGAGGGCAGCTCCAGTCCGCACCTGCTGCCACAGTCCCATCCCCCAGCCCAGCCACTCAGCAGCACCTCCTCACCACCTCGCAGGTAGGTCTGCCAAGAGGGACCACTGCCTTGACCCTAACTGGTTACTAGCTAATAACCTCTCCAGTCGGAACAGGGGCCCATGCAAACATAAAGCCTGGGTACACAGCTATTTTTTCTTTCAACAGGGATGTGACTTTATCTGATGAATCAAACATTTCTGATTGACTTCTGATTGAAATTGACCTTGGCCTACACCCAAGCCCACCCTCTTTTCTCAGATTTTCTATGTTGTTCTGATGCTGATCACATCACATGCCTGATTAAACAATGCTACCTAATTTGTCCAAACCAGGTAAGATAAAAAAAGCAGAAACAGGCTGATATACAGTGGGGGAAAAAAGTATTTAGTCAGCCACCAATTGTGCAAGTTCTCCCACTTAAAAAGATGAGAGGCCTGTAATTTTCATCATAGGTACACATCAACTATGACAGACAAATAGAGAAAAAAAAATCAAGAAAATCAAATTGTAGGATTTTTAATGAATTTATTTGCAAATGATGGTGGAAAATAAGTATTTGGTCACCTACAAACAAGCAAGATTTCTGGCTCTCACAGACCTGTAACTTCTTCTTTAAGAGGCTCCTCTGTCCTCCACTCGTTACCTGTATTAATGGCACCTGTTTGAACTTGTTATCAGTATAAAAGACACCTGTCCACAACCTCAAACAGTCACACTCCAAACTCCACTATGGCCAAGACCAAAGAGCTGTCAAAGGACACCAGAAACAAAATTGTAGACCTGCACCAGGCTGGGAAGACTGAATCTGCAATAGGTAAGCAGCTTGGTTTGAAGAAATCAACTGTGGGAGCAATTATTAGGAAATGGAAGACATACAAGACCACTGATAATCTCCCTCGATCTGGGGCTCCACGCAAGATCTCACCCCGTGGGGTCAAAATGATCACAAGAACGGTGAGCAAAAATCCCAGAACCACACGGGGGGACCTAGTGAATGACCTGCAGAGAGCTGGGACCAAAGTAACAAAGCCTACCATCAGTAACACACTACGCCGCCAGGGACTCAAATCCTGCAGTGCAAGACGTGTCCCCCTGCTTAAGCCAGTACATGTCCAGGCCCGTCTGAAGTTTGCTAGAGTGCATTTGGATGATCCAGAAGAGGATTGGGAGAATGTCATATGGTCAGATGAAACCAAAATAGAACTTTTTGGTAAAAACTCAACTCGTCGTGTTTGGAGGACAAAGAATGCTAAGTTGCATCCAAAGAACACCATACCTACTGTGAAGCATGGGGGTGGAAACATCATGCTTTGGGGCTGTTTTTCTGCAAAGGGACTAGGACAACTGATCCGTGTAAAGGAAAGAATGAATGGGGCCATGTATCGTGAGATTTTGAGTGAAAACCGCCTTCCATCAGCAAGGGCATTGAAGATGAAACGTGGCTGGGTCTTTCAGCATGACAATGATCACAAACACACCGCCCGGGCAACGAAGGAGTGGCTTCGTAAGAAGCATTTCAAGGTCCTGGAGTGGCCTAGCCAGTCTCCAGATCTCAACCCCATAGAAAATCTTTGGAGGGAGTTGAAAGTCTGTGTTGCCCAGCGACAGCCCCAAAACATCACTGCTCTAGAGGAGATCTGCATGGAGGAATGGGCCAAAATACCAGCAACAGTGTGTGAAAACCTTGTGAAGACTTACAGAAAACGTTTGACCTGTGTCATTGCCAACAAAGGGTATATAACAAAGTATTGAGAAACTTTTGTTATTGACCAAATACTTTTTTTCCACCATTTTTTTTTCTCATTTTGTCTGTCATAGTTGATGTGTACCTATGATGAAAATTACAGGCCTCTCTCATCTTTTTAAGTGGGAGAACTTGCACAATTGGTGGCTGACTAAATACTTTCCCCCCCCACTGTACAATAGGGTAGTATCACTCAATATACTGCACTGTTGCTCGATGCTTGCCAAATGAGTGATTGCGATCTTTTTTTCCTAATCTAAGGCTTTCTATTTCATGTGATTCATAAAAAAACTGTATTTTGCTCAGGCACTCTCTGAGGTGACCCAGGCTAAGAGCAGGGCCTCTCTGAAGGACCTCTGTCCCGAGGATAAACGGCGCATCGCCAACCTCATCCAGGAGCTGGCCAGGTAACTGCTCATTCAACATGAGGGATTGTGTGTGTGTGTTTGGCAGGGAGTGGGGGTGTAGATATTTTAGGGCTGTCCTCGACTAAAATAAATCTTGGTCGACCCATAGTCGTCCTGTTCTTTCGACCAATCGATTGGTTGAAATGTTTAAACTTATTTTTCCATATAGAAACAGATACACCCTATGTGTTTGAATAAAATCAACTACATATGTAAATCAAATCAAATTTTATTTGCCACATGCGCCGAATACAACAGGTGTAGACCTTAGTGAAATGCTTACTACAAGCCCTTAACCAACAATGTCGTTTTTTAATAAAAAAATAAAAAGTGTTAAGTAAAAAATTGCAAATAATTAAAGAGCAGCAGTCAAATAAAATAACAGTAGGGAGGCTATATACAGGGTGTACCGGTACAGAGTCAATGTGCTGGGGCACCTCTTTGTACTGACCTTGTCTGATGATTTAAGCACACTGTTTGATAAAATAATTAAGACACACAAATGGCTCAAGAAATAGCCCGATGGTCACACTGTTAAAAAAAAATGACAGTAAGTGCCTGTGTGACTGGAGCACGTTGTCTCCCTCTCCTCCCTACTGCAGAGAAAAGGCACCACAGCACAGCAAGTGCTGTCCGTGCTGAAGCTACAACATCATTTCAGCCATTTAGTTTCTTACTTGTTTCTGACTGAAAAGTTCTGTTACCGAAATCCCTCATTTGTTTATGAAAACAATGGCCCATTCCCTCAATCCTTGCTCTCTTTATGTGAAACATGTAAGCATCGCATGCATGTGACCAAATACACCTGACCTATAGCCTATCATAATCACATCAATAAATTGGTTATAACAAACTCCGAACATGAAAAATAAACTCGGAACGGGCGAACATTTTACTGGTTGCTCAGGAGGGAAATCAAATCATATCAATCTTTATTTATACAGCACATTTCAGACATGGAATGCAACGCAATGTGCTGTACAGGAAAATAAACAAAAAAACAATGAAAATAAAAGCTGAAATATTTACTACACAAACATAAGATAAAAAACAAAAGAATGACACAAACTGAACAACTAAAACGCACCTTAAAGAAAAGAAAAGCTAAAAGGATGTGTTTTAAGATCTCTTTTAAATATGCCCACAGTTTCGGCCCCCTTCAGGGTCTCTGCAGGCTATTCCAGAGGCTGGGGGCATAATAACTAAAGGTTGCCCCTCCATGCCTCTTGGTCCTAGGCTTTGGGATAGTTAAAAGGCCAGAGGACCTGAGGGAACTACTGGGTACATCATTTAAAAGCATGTCTGACATGTATTGGGGTGCACAATCGTGGATTGATTTAAAAACCAATAGAATAATCTTAAAATGAATTCTAAAACTCACAGGCAGCCAGTGCAAAGACCTTAAAACCGGTGTAATGTGTGCTCTCCATCTGGTCTTAGTCAGTACCCGTGCTGCAGCATTCTGTATGTTTTGCAGTTGACCAATGGATTTATTGGGGTAGACCAGACAGGGGAGAGCATTACAGTAGTCAAGCCTACTTGTAATAAAAGCATGGATGAGTCTCTGCATCAGCCTGAGAGAGAAATGGCCGTACCTTGGCAATGTTCCTCAGGTGGTAAAAAGCTATTTAGGTCACAGGGGAAGTCAGATCTGTGGAAGACATTTGACTTAGTTGTGGAAACTACTGGAGATCAAGAAAAAGGAGGGTATAGGAGCAAGCGTTGCATGAGGATTATGTGTGCCAAACAGTTGCTGTTAGATTACAATATTCTTATTTTTTCGGACCATTTGGAACAGTGTAAACAACACTAAATAAATAAGTGCACCAGAGAGTCTGTTCTAATGAAGAAGAAAAAAATATATCAAGTCTTTGTTACAGCAGACTAAAATCATTTGCATGCATTCGTGAATTGCGGTTTATTTATTGTTTAGGCTAATTATTCAAAGCTACCGTTGTTATTTAATTTTATAACAAAAATGCTTAATTGCATTTCAAAGCATGAATGTCTTGTATGCTTTGTGATGGCATGGACGAATGAATGAATGAATGATTGATTGATTGATACATTAGCCTATACAGTATATTGAAATATAGGCCTCAGTAAGTTACGGTATTAAGAATAAACAGGACGCCCTCTTAGGCCTACAGCTCGAATGTGGTTATACAAGGCTACTATACAAGGCCTATTAATGATAACGACATTACTTATTATAATAATGACGATCATAATAATTGTAATAATAACAATAAGGAGATCAAGATAAAGGAGGCTATAGGAGCGAGAGCTGCGTGCATATTATGTGTGACAAACCGGTGCTGTTAGATTACAATATAATTTTTCAGCCTGTTTGGAACAGTGTAAACAACACTAAATAAATTATAAGTAATAACAGTCTGTTCTAACGAAAAACAATTGTAAAGCCTTTATAGCAAAGATTAAAAACAGCCGAATCTGTGAAATTGCTTTATCTGACATTTTGCCATTGCATAAGGCTTGGTGCTCACGGAATCAGTAGGCGATTAAACAAACACTCAAACAGGCAACAGAAGCAAGATCTGTCTTATTTCTGTAGATATATATGGAGGATTTATAAAGCCAGGCACATTTAACAGTTAAGCTATTGATTATAGACCTAATTAAGTTGGGGTTTCCTCTCTACAATTAGGTTAAGGGAAGGGCGGTTTCCTCGTCTCTGCTGCTGCTGCCTCCGCCGCATTGTTCTCAATCCCACCCAATATGCTGATTAACTTTGCTATTATGCACAACATAGGGAAAGGCGGGGGAGGGGTGTATTTTCTCCCCTTTTCTTCCCAATTTCGTGGTATCCAATTGGTAGTTACAGTCTTGTCACATCGCTGCAACTCCCCTACGGACACGGCAGAGGCGAAGGTCGAGAGTCCCTAGTGTGCGATGGGACAAGAACATCCCTGCCGGCCAAACCGTCCCCTACCCTGGACGACACTGGGCCAATTGTGCGCCGCCCCATGGGTCTCCCGGTTGCGGCCGGCTGCGAAAGGCGCACTGAAGATTATGTTTCAGAACTGCGGACAGCGACCGTATCCACCGCGGGAAAAAGCGCATTTGTTATAAAATAGTATTAGATTTATTAGTGTTGCACCATTATTTTTACATAATATAACCATATACAATTTCAGTATCACATGTCTTAGAGTGATGGATTGTGCCATCCCCGTTGCCTCCACAATGGATCAGTCCACTGAGACAGGCGTGAATCAGACAGGTGTCTTTTGCACCATACAAAAAAATATATAATTGCGACTGCTCGACTAAAGAAATCTCGGTCGACCAACAGCCTATCAACCAGTCGACTAAATGGGATCAACCCTAAGAGATTTTCTCAAGAATTAAGTTTATTCAGGGCGAACACTGCTATAATCACTGACCCTCCACCTCTTCTTTCCCAGAGTGAGTGAGGAGAAGGAGGAGTCGGTACAGAGGCTGAGGGATGAACAGGAGGCCTTTGAGTGCAAGATTCTACAGCTGGAGCAGCAGAACCAGCTCATTGTACAGGAGAGAGAGAGTATCCTTTTCTCCATTGATGCACACAGACATACAAAGGGCCTATCCCACTGGCATTGTCTGTGTGAAGTATCCTCAACTCCAGTCTTTGAGGGCCACAGTGCCTGCTGGTGTTCTCTTGCCTTCCCAGGCCTGTATCAGTCACTGATTTAAAAGACAGCCATGAGTACTTGCAGACACTGCAGCCCCAGTCTGCCACTAAAGAATTAAAGCTCTTCCTATCTGACAGCAGGGGGCAGCATTGCCTAGAGCTTGATATCTCCACCGCAAACCTCAGTGGTCTGGCAGGTACTCCATGAGCGTAATTACATGCCCACGTACCTCCATTCCCCCCTGCTTTTTCATGATTTTGCATGTTGGCCACATCTTGACATTACAATATGAAATTTGCCCTATGTCTGAGTTCACTGTGGATTACATTCAGTATTTGAAACCGTTTCCTTCTCTGACGTTTTATCTTGTGGGACTGTGGCATTTGCTTTTGTCTCATGTCTTGGTAATCTTGTTCTTCATGATGCACTGAATTCTGTCATACACTACATGACCAAAGGTATGTGGACACCTGCTCGTCGAACATCTCATTTCAAAAGCAGGGGCATTAATATGTAGTTGGTCCCCCCTTTGCTGCTATAACAGCCTCCACTCTTCTGGGAAGGCTTCCCACTAGATGTTGGAACATTGCTGCGGGTACTTGCTTCCATTAAGTGAAGTCGGGTACTGATGTTGGGTGATTAGGCCTGGCTCGCAGTCGGCTTTCCAATTCATCCCAAAGGTGTTCGATGGGGTTGAGGTCAGGGCTCTGTGCAGGCCAGTCAAGTTCTTCTACACCGATCTCAACAAACCATTTGTATGGACCTCGCTTTGTGCACGGGGGCATTGTCATGCTGAAACAGGAAAGGGCCTTCCCCAAATTGTTGCCACAAAGTTGGAAGCACAGAATCGTCTAGAATGCCATTGTATGCTGTAGCGTTAAGATTTCCCTTCACTGGAACTAAAGGGCCTAGCCCGAACCATGAAAAACAGCCCTAGACCATTATTCCTCCTCCACCAAACTTTACAGTTGGCACTATGCATTGGGGCAGGTAGCATCCGCCAAACCCAGATTTGTCCGTCGGACTGCCAGATGGTGAAGCGTGATTCATCACTCCAGAGAACGCGTTTCCACTGCTCCAGAGTCCAATGGCGGCGAGCTTTACACCACTCCAGCCGACGCTTGGCATTGCACATGGTGATCTTAGGCTTGTGTGCAGCTACTCGGCCTTGGAAACCCATTTCCTGACAAACAGTTATTGTGCTGACGTTGCTTCCAGAGGCAGTTCGGTAGTGAGTGTTGCAACTGAGGACAGACGATTTCTACGCGCTTCAGCACTCGGCGATCACGTTCTGTGAGCTTTTGTGGCCTACCACTTCGCGGCTGAGCAGTTGTTGCTCCTAGACGTTTCCACTTCACAATAACAGCACTTACAGTTGACCGGGGCAACTCTAGCAGGGCAGAAATTTGACGAACTGACTTGTTTAGAAAGGTGGCATCCTATGACGGTACCACATTGAAAGTCACTGAGCTCTTTATTAAGGCCATTCTACTGCCAATGTTTGTTTATGGAGATTGCATGGCTGTGTGCTCGATTTTATACAGCTGTCAGCAACGGGTGTGGCTGAAATGGATGAATCCACTAATTTGAAAGGGTGTCCACATACTTTTGCATTTATAATGTGTCTTACCTTTTTCTGACCAGTTACAGCACCACCAGTTGATTCTAAGCAAGCTAACACTGTCAGGCTCAATCTCTTGGCCTGACCTGGCAACTTTACTATAATTCCAACAGCATCCCATAATTACCCTGTTTCCTCTACTTTTCCACCCCCCACCCTTCCTGACGTCCTATTTAATGATTCCCACTCAGGTCAAACCGACGTGGTGAGAGCCGCCAATTTAGGGGAAAAACACGGCGAAAAATGAAAAGTAATCACCGTTGGCAGCGGAGCTGGGAAATTAGGAAAGCACAACTCAATTAAAGGCACTTTGACTGGGAGACCTGGCATTTACACTAAACTTCTAAACTCCATTAAAAAGGAATTTGAGGGGGAAAAACCCCTTTGATTAATGCACCCCGAGGGGATAACCAGTCTTTAACGCACACACAGAGTCGTAAAGAGAGTTCTGAGACGTAGGGTTCCAGATGGATCTTTTAAAGGTTAAGGAGACACCAAAGGCAAACAGACTAGGGGGAGACTTGTAAAGACTAATTCCATTACAGTCTTATCTACCAAGAGCCAGGTTATCAAGGGGAGGATGTGTATATCTCTCCTATCTAAAGACCCACAATGAGTGAAAAGCGTTCTTGTTGAAATGTTGTTTGTCAGGACCATTTTGGAGCTCAAGTGCTGAATAAAATGTAAGATTTGAATAAGCTTGTCATTGGTTATTTCTCCTTGGCATGATGTCTTGGAGAGGTAAAAAGGATAGATATCATTGCTGAGTTGGTGCTTCACAAATCACATAGATCTTTGAAACAATAACCTTACTCTTCTGTCAGTGACTTATACCACTGCTGTGGTTGAAATAAGTGTCTCTACCTTCCTCACTTAGGCAATGGATAAAGGGCTAAACTTTGAGTTTGCTTTATCACTTATGTTAGACCTTTTAATACCATCAAGAGATAGAGTAAACCTTGAGCTATAGTGTTTGTTAGCATGTCTATTTACTGGTATTTGGTTGGGTTGATTGTAAACTGATTTATTTGTTCTCTCCATGAGCTTAAAGTATGGTTAAGGCAGTTATGCTAACTGTACACTTCGTTCAATTACCTATCACCGTGCCCTAACACACACACTCATTCACACGCCCAGTCAATTTGGCACAGTGAGCAAAAGGCAGGATTTGAAAATATTCCTCTCCTGTGCAAATTTATTCCACCTTGAGGTGGATTTCATTTGGGCACGGCCTGACAGGGCGAGTGAATAATTTTGACAGGCCCCGTCTGAAGCCCTCGAAGCAAAGTCTTGATTTTGTATATTTTTGGATTGAGGGGCAGAAGAAGCCGTTGCTACCGCTTTGATTGAAGAGGGTGGGCATTTGGATTGGCTCATGGCCAAGACTCAGAGAACAGTTTTCACAGATTTCGGCATGGGAATAGAACCTTATCAATTGCGTTCCAGTTGCCCCAGATTACAAGGCCTTGAGAGGCGGGTCTGCGTCTGCCCATCAATGTTTTTAACGTAGGTGTGTTAACGCTCCCGCAATCTGTCTGTCTCTCAGAACATCCACATCCTATAATCGGCGTAGGTATTATTTGTGGTTGCGATGACTGTTGGTTGGAGCATAATGCTTCCAATACCAGATTTGTGTGGGTTGACTCTGACGTGTACTAGATTCCTTTGAATAAAAGTGTTAACCCAGAGGACATTATATTACCAACATAAATCCATTGACATGGGAATTGACACAAATGTTTGGTCGGTTCTGTCGAGTTTTGATAGCCATTTGTCATAACATAACTTCAGTTGTCATGGCTGCCTGTGATTGCTATGACGTAATGTCAGTAGAATAACAGCCTTATGCAGAGATACGGTTCAGGTGTTACTTACCGGTAGAGTGTATGAAAGACGCCTTGGAGCATTTGTCGACGGGGCATTCACTTTCATTCCACTTGATCTGAAGTCTTTCTCTTCCCCTTCTCCATTTCATTTCCCAAGCTTGATTGAACTCCTCCGACACCAAAGTATTTTCTCCTAGCGTATCCTTCCACAGACTGTTACTTCAATATGGCTTCACTTTGAGACTTTCATTTGCTGTTAAATCGGGGACTTTTAAAGGTGATGTGTTGAGAAACTCATCAGCCAGGGGCGATGGCCCACCCATAAAAAGATATGGCCTGGAGCAGGGAGGTTTATGGGTAGTAGTTGGTTGGTAGGACTGTGTTCGAGACTGTGTACCCATGTTTGTGGGTGACTACAGGTGAAGATGTGGTAATGTGTTATTCTGGGTTCATTGCAAATTCTCTATGTTGGGGTTTGCATATATATGTATGTGTGTGTGTATACAGTTGAAGTCGGAAGTTTACATACATCTTAGCCAAATACATTTAAACTCAGTTTTTCACAATTCCTGACATTTAATCCTAGTAAAAATTCCCTGTCTTAGGTCAGTTAGGATCACCACTTTATTTTAAGAATGTGAAATGTCAGAATAATAGTAGAGAGTGATTTATTTCAGCTTTTATTTCTTTCATCACATTCCCAGTGGGTCAGAAGTTTACATACACTCAATTAGTATTTGGTAGCTTTGCCTTTAAATTGTTTTACTTGTGTCAAACGTTTCGGTAGCCTTCCACAAGCTTCCCATAATAAGTTGGGTGAATTTTGGCCCATTCCTCCTGACAGAGCTGGTGTAACTGAGTCAGGTTTGTATGCCTCCTTGCTCGCACACGCTTTTTCAGTTCTGCCCACAAATGTTCTATAGGATTGAGGTCAGGGCTTTGTGATGGCCACTCCAATACCTTGACTTTGTTGTCCTTAAGCCATTTTGCCACAACTTTGGAAGTATGCTTGGGGTCATTGTCCATTTGAAGACCCATTTGCGACCAAGCTTTAACATCCTGACTCATGTCTTGAGATGTTGCTTCAATATATCCAGATCATTTTCCTTCCTCATGATGCCATCTATTTTGTGAAGTGCACCAGTCCTTCCTGCAGCAAAGCACCCCCACAGCATGATGCTGCCACCCCCGTGCTTCACGGTTGGGATTGTGTTCTCCGGCTTGCAAGTATCCCCTTTTTCCTCCTAACATAACGATGGTCATTATGGCCAAACAGTTCTATTTTTGTTTCATCAGACTTTGTCCCCATGTGCAGTTGCAAACTGTAGTCTGCCTTTTTTATGGCTGTTTTGGAGCAGTTGCTTCTTCCTTGCTGAGCGGCCTTTCAGGTTATGTCAATATAGGACTCGTTTTACTGTGGATATATATACTTTGTACCTGTTTCCTCCAGCATCTTCACAAGGTCCTTTGCTGTTGTTCTGGGATTGATTTGTACTTTTCGCACCAAAGTACGTTCATCTCTAGGAGACAGAACGCGTCTCCTTCCTGAGCGGTATGACGGCTGCGTGGTCCCATGGTGTTTATACTTGCGTACTATTGTTTGTACAGAAAATCACATTGTATGATTTTTAAGTAATTAATTTGCATTTTATTGCATGACATAAGTATTTGATACATCAGAAAAGCAGAACTTAATATTTGGTACAGAAACCTTTGTTTGCAATTACAGAGATCATACGTTTCCTGTAGGTCTTGACCAGGTTTGCACACACTGCAGCAGGGATTTTAGCCCACTCCTCCATACAGACCTTCTCCAGATCCTTCAGGTTTCGGGGCTGTCGCTGGGCAATACGGACTTTCAGCTCCCTCCAAAGATGTTCTATTAGGTTCAGGTCTGGAGACTGGCTAGGCCACTCCAGGACCTTGAGATGCTTCTTACGGAGCCACTCCTTAGTTGCCCTGGCTGTGTGTTTCGGGTCGTTGTCATGCTGGAAGACCCAGCCACGACCTATCTTCAATGCTCTTACTGAGGGAAGGAGGTTGTTGACCAAGATCTCGCGATACATGGCCCCATCCATCCTCCCCTCAATACGGTGCAGTCGTCCTGTCCCCTTTGCAGAAAAGCATCCCCAAAGAATGATGTTTCCACCTCCATGCTTCACGGTTGGGATGGTGTTCTTGGGGTTGTACTCATCCTTCTTCTTCCTCCAAACACGGCGAGTGGAGTTTAGACCAAAAAGCTCTATTTTTGTCTTATCAGACCACATGACCTTCTCCCATTCCTCCTCTGGATCATCCAGATGGTCATTGGCAAACTTCAGACGGGCCTGGACATGCGCTGGCTTGAGCAGGGGGACCTTGCGTGCGCTGCAGGATTTTAATCCATGATGGCGTAGTGTGTTACTAATGGTTTTCTTTGAGACTGTGGTCCCAGCTCTCTTCAGGTCATTGACGAGATCCTGCCGTGTAGTTCTGGGCTGATCCCTTACCTTCCTCATGATCATTGATGCCCCACGAGGTGAGATCTTGCATGGAGCCCCAGACCGAGGGTGATTGACCGTCATCTTGAACTACTTCCATTTTCTAATAATTGCGCCAACAGTTGTTGCCTTCTCACCAAGCTGCTTGCCTATTGTCCTGTAGCCCATCCCAGCCTTGTGCAGGTCTACAATTTGATCCCTTATGTCCTTACACAGCTCTCTGGTCTTGGCCATTGTGGAGAGGTTGGAGTCTGTTTGATTGAGTGTGTGGACAGGTGTCTTTTATACAGGTAACAAGTTCAAACAGGTGCAGTTAATACAGGTAATGAGTGGAGAACAGGAGAACAGGAGAGCTTCTTAAAGAAAAACTAGCAGGTCTGTGAGAGCCGGAATTCTTACTGGTTGGTAGGTGATCAAATACTAATGTCATGCAATAAAATGCAAATTAATTACTTAAAAATCATAGAATGTGATTTTCTGGATTTTTGTTTTAGATCACAGTTGAAGTGTACCTATGATAAAAATTACAGAGCTCTACATGCTTTGTAAGTAGGAAAACCTGCAAAATCGGCAATGTATCAAATACTTGTTCTCCCCACTGTATGTATGTATATATATATATATATATATATATATATATATTATACATTTACATTTTAGTCATTTAGCAGACACTCTTATCCAGAGCGACTTACAGTTAGTGAATACATATTACTTTTTTTATACTGGCCCCCCGTGGGAATCAAACCCACAACCCTGGCGTTGCAAACGCCATGCTCTATCAACTGAGCTACATCCCTGCCGGCCATTCCCTCCCCTACCCTGGACGACGCTGGGCCAATTGTGCGCCGCCCATGAGTATCCCGGTCGCGGCCGTCTGCGACAGAGCCTGGATTCGAACCAGGATCTCTAGTGGCACAGTTAGCACTGCGATGCAGTGCCTTAGACCACTGCGCCACTCAGGAGTTCATACTTGTGTATATAAACTCAGCAACAACAAAAAAACATCCTCTCACTGTCAACTGTGTAAATATTTGTATGAACATAACCAGATTCAACAACTGAGACATAAACTGAACAAGTTCCACAGACGTGTGACTCGCAGAAATTGAATAATGTGTCCCTGAGCAAAGGGGGGTGGGGGGTCAAAATCAAAAGTAACAGGCAGTATCTGGTGTGGCCACCAGCTGCATTAAGTACTGCAGTGCATCTCCTCCTCATGGACTGCACCAGATTTGCCAGTTTTTGCTGTGAGATGTTACCCCACTCTTCCACCAAGGCACCTGCAAGTTTCCGGACATTTCTGGGGGGAATGGCCCTAGCCCTCACCCTCCGATCCAACAGGTCTCAGACGTGCTCAATGTGATTGAGATCCGGGCTCTTCGCTGGCCATGGCAGAACACTGACATTCCTGTCTTGCAGGAAATCACGCCCAGAACGAGCAGTATGGCTGGTGGCATTGTCATGCTGGAGGGTCATGTCAGGATAAGCCTGCAGGAATGGTACCACATGAGTGAGGAGGATGTCTTCCCTGTAACGCACAGCGTTGAGATTGCCTGCGATGACAACAAGCTCAGTCCGATGATGCTGTGACACACCGCCCCAGACCATGACAGACCCTCCACCTCCAAATCGATCTCGTACATGCCTCGGTGTAACGCTCATTCCTTCGACAATAAACGCAAATCCGACCATCACCCCTGGTGAGACAAAACCGCGACTCGTCAGTGAAGAGCACTTTTTGCCAGTCCTGTCTGGTCCAGCGATTATGGATTTGTGCCCATAGGCGACGTTGTCAGTGTCACCAGCAAAGCACCATCACACCTCCTCCTCCATGCTTCACGATGGGAACAACACATGCAGAGATCAACCGTTCACCTACTCTGCGTCTCACAAAGACACGGCGGTTGGAACCAAAAATCTCAAATTTGGACTCATCAGACCAAAGGACAGATTTCTACTGGTCTAATGTCTATTGCTTGTGTTTCTTGGCCCAAGCAAGTCTCTTCTTCTTATTGGTCTCTTCTTCTTACAGCTCCTCTGAACAGTTAATGTTGAGATGTGTCTGTTACTTGAACTCTGTGAAGCATTTTTTTGGGCTGCAATTTCTGAGGCTGGTAACTCTAATGAACTTATCCTCTGCAGCAGAGGTAACTCTGGGTCTTCCTTTCCTGTGGCGGTCCTCATGAGAGCCAGTTTCATCATAGCGCTTGATGGTTTTTGCGACTACACTTGAAGAAACTTTCAAAGTTCTTGAAATGTTTCATATTGACTGACCTTCATGTCTTAAAGTAATGATGGACTGTCGTTGCTTATTTGAGCTGTTCTTGCCGTAATATGGACTTGGTCTTTTACCAAATAGGGCTATCTTCTGTATACCACTCCTACCTTGTCACAACACAACTGATTGGCTCAAACGCGCTAAGAAGGAAAGAAAATCCACAAATTAACTTTTAACAAAGCACACCTGTTAATTGAAATGCATTCCAGGTGACTACCTCATTAAGCTGGTTGAGAGAATGCCAAGAGTGTGCAAAGCTGTCATATAGGCAAAGGGTGGCTACTTTGAAGAATCTAAAATCTAAAATATATTTTTTGGTTACTACTTGATTCTATATGTGTTATTTCATATTTTTTATGTCTTCACTATTATTCTACAATGTAGAAAATCATAAAAATAAGGAAAAATCCTTGAATGAGTAGGTGTGTCCAAACTTTTGACTAGTACTGTATGTAAATAAGGTATTTCTGTATTATTTTCTTCAATAAATGTTCACAATTCTTTATAAAACCTGTTTTCACTTTGTCATTATGGGGTATTGTGTGTAGATTGATCATATTTTATATTTATTGAATCCATTTTAGAATAAGGCTATAACGTAACAAAATGTGGAGAAGGGGTCTGAATACTTTCCGAATACACTGTATATGGATGATTTATAAATTCAGGCACATTAACAGTTAGGCATTTGGTTATAGACCTAATTAAGTTGGGGTTTGCTCTCTCCTCACTTTTCTTAGAAAATTAAGGCAAGGTCTGTTTTCTCGTCTCCTAACTCCGCTGCTGCCTCCGCCGCATTGTTCTCAACACCAATATGCTGGTTAACTTAGCTATTATACACATAGCAACGTGGTCTCGACCATTATCCAACGCGGGAGAAAGCACATTTTATATTATTATTTTTATTTGTACTTACATAATGTAACCATATACAATTTCAGTAGCAAATGTCTTAGACTGATGGACTGTGCCATCCCCACGGCCTCCACAATGGATCAGTCCACTCAGCCAGGCACGAATCAGACAGGTGTCGTGTACACCATGACCAACAGCCTATCGACCAAACAGTGGACCAGTCGACTAGATGGGATCAGCCCTAGTATACAGTATGAGATCCTATGCTTTCTTACTAATTCAATGGTTGCAATGGTGGTATGTATCCATGTATGTGTACCTACCTTACTCACTCAGCCCGGTTGTGTGTGTATGCGAGCGGTGCAGCCACCGCCATTAGCGGGACCCTCATGCACAGCAGTGGTTCTGCGCCAGATGAATTCTGTTCTGCCTTCTGCAGCGTGGCACCAGGCAGGTGCCAGCTCTCTGTCTGGCATTCAGATATGGCATCACGGCCCAGCTCTGCTTAGCTCAGCCTGGGCCGACCCAGATGGAAAAGTCTATAAAGCTCTACCCCCTCAACTTTTTATCATGCTCTCTTTCTTTTCAGTTTGTCCTTTTCAACTTTCTGAGGTAACTCACTGTTCTCTTTACTTTCCTGGCCTTATGAAGGGGTGGTGGATGGGGATATTATTTCGGGGTTATATGTTGTCTTCAAAATGTCAATAAAAATGTATCCCAAAAAAGGGAATAAAGACAGAAGTATGACCCTTAACCCCAGCCCCCTGTGGCCCAGGCCTACAGCAGCAGTACCGGGAGTGTCAGGAGCTGCTGGGGCTCTACCAGCAGTACCTCTCTCAACAGCAAGAGAAACTCAACCAGTCCATCGCCCAGCTCAGCCATGCCCGCAGCTCCCACTCTAACTCCCACAAAAAGGTACTCACTCTTTGTGTGTGTGTGCGTAATAAGAGTGTGTGTCTGAGAGAGATGACGAGTGGTGCGTGTCAGTGTGTGTGTGTACAATCTTCCCCGGGGAGCTATCTCCAAACTACCACGCAGTTCACCATCAATCACAATGCTGCCAACTGGGAGAGAGACACTCGCACACACATTTTCTTTTTAAATGATATTTACTTAGACCTAGACAGCACATCAGATATCACGATAGCAAAAAAATTCGCTATCAATTATGACCACATACAGTAAGTAGCAGAACCGGTTGCTTTTCTCAAGGTAACCATTTAGAGACAACTTCCTGGGTCCCCCTACTCTGAGGATAGATCACTTTGTCGTCCTCAGTGTCCGACAGTGGGTCTGAGTAATGTGTTTGCATGCTCTGTGACCTCACACTGAATTAGTCACTCTCTTGTCTTGCTGAAGGTGGGCTTTTCTTTACTTTACTTTGTGTTTATCTCTCTCGCTTCAGTGACCTTGGTTTCCCTGTGCTCAGCACTTTAATGAGAATCTCAGTCTTGCCGAAACCCAAATCTTAGTTCTGCATTGTATCGGTGTTAAGTCCATCTTGGCTTACCCACTGCTCTCTCACAGAAAAGTATTAAAGGGTGAAGGGAAGGAGTGAATATCGGAGAGAGGTAACTAACCGCAAAAATGACCCATTGCCCTTACCACTTATACACTTGTGGAGATTGGAGATGAACACATGACACGTTTCAGATTTTATTGATGCCCACATTGCGCTTAATACAGTAACATTGAATAATATATTTACAATAGATAAAAAAAGAAGGGTATATTTAACTTGGTGGCTTTCTTGTCTCCACAGGCCCCCAGCAGTGAGGTAGGCTCCACCAAGACTAGCAGGGCAGAGATGGCCACAGCCTGGGATGGCTCCTACCTGGGCCTGCCAACTCCTGGAGGAACAGGGACAAACGGAGGAGGAAGAGAGAGAAGTGGCAGAGGAAGAGTCCCGTCCCTCAGTCCCACCTCTCTCTCAGACGACCTCCACGCAGTCACCTCCCCTAACTACTCCTCCTCTAGCGACCAATCCCAGGGACCAATCAAATGCCAGGGCTGCCGAGGAGAAGGGGCCCGTAGCAGACGGGAACATCTGGTCAATGGGGCGTTTACCCATAGGGGGGCCAGAGAAGACCCTCGACTGGGCAACACCAGCCCACGGCTCCACAACGGCCCTGGTGAACCACCCGAAGACAGCAGACGTCTACCTGGACCCCAGGGGTTGCTACTCGGAGGGGACCCAGTGGGGCAGGGAGCAGGGTCAGAGGGGGACCTAACGGCACCCCTCCTGGGACGGGAGGACTGGGAGGAGAGGAGGCACCAGCTGCTCCTGCAGAAGCTGCAGCTGGAGGTGGAGAGGGAGCGGCTGCAAGCGCGGCTGGCCCAGCAGGAGGAGAGGCTGATCAGACAGAACCAGCAGCTCCTCCACACACGCCTCGACTACAGCAGGTATTGAATGTAATTATATTTTATTTTAGAAAAAGTATACATCTAACAAGATGCGCACAATCATTTGGGCATGTACTTCATTTTGTCTCTCTTGCAGGTTCCAGCAAGCCACTGCAGCCGAACTCAGCCACTCCATGTCCAGAAACGGGACTGATCCTTTACCCAATGGCCATGCACTACTCAGGTAAAGCCATGGAACTCACTCACTCGCTGTATCTAGTAATCAAACCTTTAGCTTACCAAGCAGTTGAATGTAAACTTGACTGTGTGTGTCTGCAGTGAGATGAGAGGGTGTGACGATGTAGAGGACTTGGGCGAAGCAGCAGAACAAGACGTTCCTCCACACAAAGACCATGCTGCACACATCCCCCTGCAAAACTCCATACATTTACCTGGTAGGTTGTGTGTGTATGTGTGTGACACCCTTGTATACGTCATTAGGGTTCTGAAGTCCATTTGTTGTTGGCCTCCATCTGCAGAGCCCTGTCATAACAATTCCAGGAGGGATATAGCCACCTCTCTTGTGGTGTCTCAGAGCAGTCTCAAAGCCACCCCAGCACCAATGATGCTCCCCACGCTACCTAGGACCCCTGACGCAAGGTAAGCCACAGTGGATCTCGGTGTTCCAACCACAACACTGTTGCATCCCATATGCTGTTTCCACTGTACTGCACCGCAACATCACATCATTATCAGCACTTTCAATGTCAAAATAAAGTGTGTTGTACAAAAAGTCGTTTATGATGACATTAATACATTATTGTCAAATGTAGTGTACGCACATCCAGTAAGTTGCAGGTGCTGGGTACAAAAAGTAAACACAAAATAGAGAATAGATCCCTGATGGAATAGTGAATAGATCCCTGTCCACCGATGAATGCTCCTGGTGTTCTGTTGTGCAAGGTCAGCCTGACGAAGACCTTTGGGTTGAAACGCTGCATAATAAAACAGGAGGAGCATTCAACAGTGTGCAGGTTGCTATTCTTTATATCATATGGGTACATTATTACAATCTATTATTAACACATACCATGAGCAATAAATAAACAGAGCGTCTTTAAAAGCTGTTCTATATTTTCAACAGCATCTCATGGTGCATTTTGACCCACTTATCTGGAAACATTTAGATTAGAAATACACAAACCAGACTATTTTCATGAACAGAGCAGGGGGGAAATGCAATTCAACATGTCGGTGCACGGGTAACGAAACAAAATAAAGGTCAGAAAACGGGAAGGAAGGAAGGAAAGGGGAGCTGAGGCAGGCCGGCACTGGGCCTTAGCGTTTGATGTGCTAAATTAAGCTTTCTCCCGGGCTAGCGGCGAGGCTGACAGGAGCCAAGCTGCGTTCCATTAGTCGGTCTAGCTGGGACCCAGCAGCAGGTGTAATTGAACAGACTTCTGTGGGGATGCACAGTCTCTCTCTCTGTCTCTCGCGCTCTCTCAATAATGAGAGGGGGAGAGACGAGAGGGAGAGACAGAGAGCGCAGAGAGGAATGAATCACTGCTAGCGTGAGACACACTCCAAGAAAAGGGAAGGAAATGCATTATTACACCCCCTCCCCACCCTTTTTGTGGAAAGGTAATTAATGTGACAGTGTGTCGTCTTCCCGTGTGTGTCTGAGTGTGCACTTCTAGTTAGCATAGAATGCTGTGGACAAATGTTTGTTAGCATGTCATTTTTAAGGAAAGGGATTATGTTTCTTTCTTTTTCCTTTTTTACTTCTGGCAAATGTATTTTTGTTTTTGCATATGAAATGTTCTTCAAGTGTGAACTCCAAATGTTATTCTACTGGCAACATGGACATCCATAGCCTAGCCAACATGAAACAGAAAGACAGCTTGTCTCTGACTCAGCCAGAAGGAAAGCTCTTCACAATGTTCTGAATCATAAACAATGCAATATGGTCCAAGTAACCACCACCATGCCAATCGAACAAACTCAAGCAGTGTAAACTCAAGCAGATGGCCATTAAAACCAAGGAAAATAATGGATACGATCATAATAACAGTGAATTTTTGAAAGCATTTCAATTGGGCCCTTCTGAGAGGTTTGCTCTTAATGACCACGTTTGTCGTGGTTAAAGCGCTGTATTCACCATTCAATACTTTAATTATTATGCGATTGGTCCAACGTTAAACTGTCAAATTTAAACAAACAAAACAAGTTTTGCTGAGGTCAGTGCAAGACATCCAAGATTGTCTTGCGCTTTTCACACTCTGTATGTTCAAAAACCAACAGAAGTCTTTCTTGGATAATTGATCGAAACAAACTAAATGGGAGCAACAGGCAGTTCTGGTCTCCTGAACCCCTCTCCAACCAGCATAGTAGCCAAGAGTTGAATTTGTAGTCAATATTCACTGGATTTAGGAGTCTCCTTTATTCAGAAGCAGAATGCCATTTTGGACAAGTTTAGTAGCCAAGAGTTACCCCAAAACCCTGGTCAGAACTTCCTCTTTAATTAGGAAATGTGGAGTAAAAACACCCTTTCCTCTCTTCACCTTTCCCCTTCCAACAGACCGACTGCAATCAGTCAGATTAGACAAGCGCATCGCCTCTGCCTGCTCTTCGCTTACCTGCCCTTTAATCCATCAACGCCAAACCCCAGCGATGCAGAGCTGCTTAGGCTAACAAGCACCGGAGAATGCTAGCTTATGTATGGACAGATAAATATTTTATTGTAGTCCGCAGTCTGGAAGCAGCTTCCTGCATTATTCAGACACCCAATCTGATTTTGTGTGTGTGGAGGGAATCAATGAAGCGTGTCATTTTAAGGGTTTTTGTTTTGCAGGGAGGGGAGGTTGGCGAGGGTCGTCCTGGCACTATGTAGACTTTTGCGGATGTTATGAGAGTGAGGGGTAAGCCCTACCATGCCCATGTGTCCCCCTTAATGTATGCCAGCCAACAACCAAAGCAACTCAGGAATTCCACACTAACATTGAATGAGTGCCATTGTTTTGCAAAATCTGACTCACACTGTACCTTGGTCCTTACCCTAGTGATAAACTGCCTATTTTCATTCAGCAACAAACCCTAACAACCATTAAGTCTTAACCAGTTGAATCTTAAAGGTGCAAATTGCAAAATGGGACTGGGGGTTACTCCCCGGCCTCCCGTGCTAGTTAGTAAAGAGTTCCATTGCACCCTACTGCTCTTCCTGCCTCCCCCTTTGCCTCCCCCTGCCTGCTTGCTATTGAATGGCTAGGAATTGACATGCGGGATGTACCCGCCTGCCGTTATAGGATTAGTGTATTACTGTTTGGACTGAAAATGAAAGGGGGCGCTGGGCAAGATGGCCATCTTTAATGAGAGAAGAGCGGAACAACCCAAGAAAGTTACGAGGGGAGGGAGGGAGAAGTGGATAGACTAACTGCAGTTCTGCGAGAGCCAAGTTAAAACTTTCATAGTAACCCAAGAAAGTATAGATATGTCTGGTGAATTTAGCCACCAGTCTGATGTTGAACTGTTAAACTCTTCCTGTTGAACACAGAACAAGGGAGATCTTGGTTTGTTGTTTTGAAAGTGTAGTGGAAAGTTTCTTAGTAGCTAGCTAACTTTTTAGTTTGCATCCAGCGACACATTTGGCATCAGTATCTCGAGGGACAATCAAGGCGAAACAACATGGTTGTGGACGGAATTGCAGAATCCCCACATGAGACCTGGACGGAGTCTGAGGACAAAGTGAGGGAAATGATCTCTAAGAAATTGAAGATGGACCCACCGGAAGATTGAGGTGGAGCGCACCCACAGGACTGGAAAACCCACCACCGGCCCTGAATATTGATTGGTATTCATCAAGCTGTCCGCTCAAGAGGAAGCTTCTCACTGTAACCAGTGCCTGTAATCTGGTTCAGGTTATTAATCAACCTACCAGGATGTTTACAAACACTACAGGGACAAGATGATCCACATGTATCGATCACATTTTTACTAATACTGTAGAACTTTGTTCTAAAGCTGTATCCGTACTCATTGGATGCAGTGATCCCAATATTGTGGCTATATCCAGGAAATCCAAAGTTCCAAAAGCTGGGCCTAAAATAGTGTATAAGAGATCATACAAAATATTTTGCTGTGACTCTTTTGTGGATGATGTTAAAAATATTTGTTGGTCCGATGTGATTAATAAGGAGCATCCAGATGCTGCGCTTGATGAATTTATGAAATTGCTTCTTCCAATTATTGATAAACATGCACCTGTTAAGAAACTGACTGTTAGAACTGTTAAGGCTCCATGGATTGATGAGGAATTGAACAACTGTATGGCTGAAAGCGATGGGGCAAAAGGAGTGGCTAATAAGTCTTGCTGCACATCTGACTTACTGCAAATTGAGAAATGATGTGACTAAACTCAACAACAAAAAAAGAAGAAACTGTATTATGAAGCCAAGATCAATGATATAAAGAATGATGGAAAAAAACTTTGGAGTACTTTAAATGAAATTATGTGCAGAAAGACAAATTATTTTATCGAATCAGATTGCTTATTCATCACAAAACCATTTGAAGTTGCAAATTATTTTAATGATTACTTAATTGGCAAAGTGGGCAAACTTAGGCAGGAAATGCCAACAACGAACAGTGAGCCATCGTATTCATGCATAAGAAAACAAATAATGAAAGAAAAGCTTTGCAAGTTTGAATTTTGTAAAGCTAGTGTGGGAGAGGTGGAAAGATTATTGTTAAAGATCAATAGTCTTTAACAAACCTGGCATTGACAACTTAGATGGAAAGCTACTGAGGATGGTAGCTGACTCTATAGCCACTCCTATCTGTCATATCTTTACTCTGAGCCTAGAGGAAAGTATTTGTCCTCAGGTCTGGAGGGAAGCCAAAGTAATTCCGCTACCCAAGAGTGGTAAAGCAGCCTTTACTGGTTCTAACAGCAGACCTATAAGCTTGCTGCCAGCTCTTAGCAAACTGTTGGAAAGAATTGTGTTTGACCAAATACAATGCAATTTCTCTGTAAACAAATTAACAACAGAGTTTCAGCATGCTTATAGAGAAAGGCACTCAACATGTACTGCACTGACACAAATGACTGATGATTGGTTGAAAGAAATTGATAATAAGAAGATTGTGGGAGCTGTACTGTTAGATTTCAGTGCAGCCTTTGATATTATTGACCATAACCTGTTGTTGAAAAAAAGCGTATGTGTTATGGCTTTTCAACCTCTGCCATATCGTGGATTCAGAGCTATTTAATAGAACTCAAGGGGTTTTCTTTAATGGAAGCTTCTCTAATGTCAAACATGTAAAGTGTGGTGTACCGCAGGGCAGCTCTCTAGGCCCTCTACTATTTTCTATTTTTACCAATGACCTGCCACTGGCATTAAACAAAGCATGTGTGCCCATGTATGCTGATGATTCAACCATATACTCATCAGCAACCACAGCTAATGAAGTCACTGAAACCATTAACAAAGAGTTGCAGTCTGTTCTGGAATGGGTGGCCAGTAGTAAACTGGTCCGGAACATCTCTAAAACTAAGAGCATTGTATTTGGTACAAACCATTCCCTAAGTTCTAGACCTCAGCTGAATCTGGTAATGAATGGTGTGGCTGTTGAACAAGTTGAGGAGACTAAATTACTTGGCGTTACCTTAGATTGTAAACTGTAATGGTCAAAACATATAGATTCAATGGTTGTAAAGCTGGGGAGCGGTCTGTCCGTAATAAAGAGATGCTCTGCTTTTTTGACACCACATTCCAAAAAGCAAGTCCTGCAGGCTCTAGTTTTGTCTTATCTTGATTATTGTCAAGTCGTGTGGTTGAGTGCTACAAGGAAAGTCCCAGTTAAGCTGCAGCTGGCCCAGAACAGAGCTGCATGTCTTGCTCTTCATTGAAATCAGAGGGCTGATATAAATACAGTGAGGGAAAAAAGTATTTGGTCCCCTGCTGATTTTGTACGTTTGCCCACTGACAAAGACATGATCAGTCTATAATTTTAATGGTATGTTTATTTGAACAGTGAGAGACAGAAAAACAACAAAAAAATCCAGAAAAACGCATTTAATAAATGTTATCAATTGATTTGCATTTTAATGAGGGAAATAAGTATTTGACCCCTCTGCAAAACATGACTTAGTACTTGGTGGCAAAACCCTTGTTGGCAATCACAGAGGTCAGACGTTTCTTGTAGTTGGCCACCAGGTTTGCACACATCTCAGGAGGGATTTTGTCCCACTCCTCTTTGCAGATCTTCTCCAAGTCATTAAGGTTTCGAGCCTGACGTTTGGCAACTCGAACCTTCAGCTCCCTCCACATATTTTCTATGGGATTAAGGTCTGGAGACTGGCTAGGCCACTCCAGGACCTTAATGTGCTTCTTCTTGAGCCACTCCTTTGTTGCCTTGGCCGTGTGTTTTGGGTCATTGTCATGCTGGAATACCCATCCACGACCCATTTTCAATTCCCTGGCTGAGGGAAGGAAGTTCTAACCCAAGATTTGACGGTACATGGCCCCGTCCATCATCCCTTTGATGCGGTGAAGTTGTCCTGTCCCCTTAGCAGAAAAACACCCCCAAAGCATAATGTTTCCACCTCCATGTTTGACGGTGGGGATGGTGTTCTTGGGGTCATAGGCAGCATTCCTCCTCCTCCTCCAAACACCGCGAGTTGAGTTGATGCCAAAGAGCTCCATTTTGGTCTCATCTGACCACAACACTTTCACCCAGTTCTCCTCTGAATCATTCAGATGTTCATTGGCAAACTTCAGACGGGCATGTATATGTGCTTTCTTGAGCAGGGGGACCTTGCGGGCGCTGCAGGATCTCAGTCCTTCACGGCGTAGTGTGTTACCAATTGTTTTCTTGGTGACTATGGTCCCAGCTGCCTTGAGATCATTGACAAGATCCTCCCGTGCAGTTCTGTGCTGATTCCTCACCGTTCTCATGATCATTGCAACTCCACGAGGTGAGATCTTGCATGGAGCCCCAGGCCGAGGGAGATTAACAGATCTTTTTGTGTTTCTTCCATTTGCGAATAATCGCACCAACTGTTGTCACCTTCTCACCAAGCTGCTTGCCGATGGTCTTGTAGCCCATTCCAGCCTTGTGTAGGTCTACAATCTTGTCCCTGACATCCTTGGAGAGCTCTTTGGTCTTGGTCATGGTGGAGAGTTTGGAATCTGATTGATTGATTGCTTCTGTGGACAGGTGTCTTTTATACAGGTAAAAAGCTGAAATTAGGAGCACTCCCTTTAAGAGTGTGCTCCTAATCTCAGCTCGTTACCTGTATAAAAGACACCTGGGAGTCAGAAATCTTTCTGATTGAGAGGGGGTCAAATACTTATTTCCCTCATTAAAATGCAAATCAATATATAACATTTTTGACATGCTTTTTTCTGGATTTTTTTGTTGTTCTTTCTCTCACTGTTCAAATAAACCTACCATTAAAATTATAGACTGATAATTTCTTTGTCACTGGGCAAACGTACAAAATCAGCAGGGGATCAAATACTTTTTTCCTTCACTGTACTGTGCATGCCAGTCTCTCTTGGCTAAGAGTTGAGGAGAGACTGACTGCATCACTTCTTCTTTTTATAAGAAACATGAATGTGTTGAAAATCCCAAATTGTTTGCATAGTCAATTCACACACAGCTCTGACACACACACTTACCCCACCAGATATGCCACAAGGGGTCTTTTCACAGTCCCCAAATCCAGAACAAATTCAAGAAAGTGTACAGTATTATATAGAGCCATTATTGCGTGGAACTCCGTTCCATCTCATATTGCTCAAATGAACAGCAAACCTGGTTTCAAAAAACAGATAAAGCAACACCTCACAGCACAACACCTTTCCCCTATTTGAGCTAGATAGTTTGTGTGTATGAATTGGTATTGATATGTAGGTTACGTGTGCCTTTTATTTAATTTAAATTTTTTGATGTAGTTCTGTCCTTGAGCTGTTCTTGTCTATTAAGGTTCTGTATTATGTCATGTTTCATGTTTGTGTGGACCCCAGGAAGAGTAGCTGCTGCTTTTGCAACATCTAATGGGGATCCTAATAAAATACCAAATGTGGAGGGTAGCAACATTTCTGAGTTGTCATTGTCTAATGCAATTATTATTTTTGTCTGTGTGACTTCTCTGTGTGAATACGCAGAGAGTAGTGTACATAGCCCCTCCAAACCATTCGAATTCTCACCATTCGGCCCATTCCCTTGCCAAACTGTACACCCCCCCCATCCCCTTGTTAAAGATTGTGACCACCGGTAAGTTATGCATTATTCATTACAGCGATGTCGTCCGTTGATGGATTGCTGTTTGAGAGCCCTGTCCGTTAAATAAATCTACAAATAAAAATGCAAATTCTCACATTTCAAGAGGGAGCCCGGCCAAAGTTTCACTCCCTCCCTCTATCTTCCCAAAGCTGCACTCTTTAATTCTCGCTCTCTCACTTTCTCACTCTCTCTCCCATTCTCTATCTCTCTCTCTCTCTCGCACACACTGTCATTCCTCTCCCCACTAACTGCTATTGACAGGTAGAAGGAGACCAAATGAAGAAGACAGATTTACTTACTTTAGCTTCAATCACGTTTATTTCCCAGCGGGCCTTATCCCCTATAGGTGTCCCCTCTGTTTTCTCTCTTCAATCTCACAGATTCATTCAATGTACTGTACATAGATTTTCAAAAGAACTTGATGGAAAACTACAGTGATCATTCTTTCTACACCAATTAAAGCCATGAAGTTAAAACACAGAAAATAAAACTATAAATATTATGTTAACAAACACAAGACTCTGACCGCACATGCCAACTGTTGGCCCTCAGAATCTCGGAAGCACGCAGATGCAAATCAATGCTGCTTAAAACGAGCATAGAATTATGTTAGCAACATCGGTGGAGCATGCTTTAAGAATTCATGTTTTCTATCAGGAATGCACTCGTCCAACTGTGTACACACTGAATAATTTATCAAGCAGCCAGACTGAAGGATTGAATCTCTATTAGCTTAATCTCTCGCTTTGGTTTATTTCTTCCCTCATTCGTATTCTGGTAGAGAATGGCCCTGTGCGCCCTCACTCGCTCTCTTTCTGTTGCACCTGTAACATCTAATGCCCTTCTGCTTGTCGACCCCAGGCCTTTAGACTTTTAACGCTGGTTGTGTTAGGCATCAATGGACACTACAGAACAGAAACATTTTATTAGCAGTTCATCCGTATAGGGATATCCTTTCATATCTTCTGTATGTTAACAAATACGAGTTGTACTACACATTTGCACTACAAGCTTTGTGCCACAGACATGCTTTGGCCTTGTGCCTTGTCTAGTTCCTGTTAAGCAATAGGATAACATGAATGCTGGAGAGTTTTAAGAAAGGACAATATTACAAAGGCAATATTGCGATTATGTTAGCAAGAAGACTTATCATAGTTATCAAATGCGTTTTCATTCATTGATTCCTCTCTTCATCTTTGTTTTTGCTCCAGGTTGGACTCCTCCTTGATTGAGTTGTTGGAGGTCTTCAGTCCCATCTCTTTGCCCAAGCAAGGCAACCCTCCCCGACGCCCGCCTCTCCTCAGTGCCCCCAAACCAGCCCACCAAGCTCTACTCTCCCACCCTGGCCCCTACCGGACCCCCCAGCAGGACCTGGAGGAGAGCCAGATACTGGAAGAAATCTTCTTCATTTGCTGAGGCGGGGGTCCAGGGGTAGGTACCCTGAGAAAAATATGAAAATTGAAATCATTCTTAATAATTTAATTGATATTCACCGTTGGCTCTTAAATCAAGGTCAGTGCCTTCTGTTTGTCTTGCAGTTGGAAGTTCCAAAACAATCATGATTTTGTTGATTATACTATTGTATCTTTGTAATGCAATATTTTTTTATATTGATTGTTTTTTTATATTGAAAATAAATAAACTGTAATGTATTTAAGATCTTTGTGTAGTGGTCCCCACATGTAGTGAAATGGTCACCCACAAAGTAGGTAAATGCACTATAATTCTACTCATACATGGATTTCTTATCACTTCCAACGTAAATTCTTGTAAAACTTCTGTGTGCTCCACTGACCACCTTGGTCACATTATCTCAGAGATGGACACATTAGAGAACTGAAGGATTACTAGAACTGGGTCATATTCATTAGGGCAAAACATTTTGACAGTTTTTTTTAAAGAAAACATTTATTAAGTTTGGTGCCTAATGAATACGACCCTGGTCAAGGCCCTGTTAGAATATGTAGTAAGTTTGAGTCACGACACAGGTGTATTCTAGACTGTGCTTTATTATTGAGCTAAGCTGAGACGCATCATTCATTAAAATTACAAAAGAGTCCAGGGACCAGAGAAGAGATGAGGGCGGGAGCCTAAAGCGCATTAATCAATGAGAAGCCTACCTCATCAGACATGGCAAAGCTCGACACGTAACATTCAATTCCCCATCCCCTTCATGTGCTGAAATTGTCTTCAGAATACTTTTGAATCCATTGAAGAAGTATAATGTAATTATCCTAAGAACACTAGCTTGTAGGAATAAACCCTTGATAACAGCATTGAAGGTAGACTAAATGATCAGAAATGTAGTAACTGAATATTTGATGAAATAGTGCAGTTTTTGATGGGTGTTTTACCCTTGATAGAACTGAACACTTGTACAACACCAGAGCTCAATAAGACATTGAAAAGAAAGACAACATATCTGATTAATACAGAACTCCTAACACTTCAAAATAAGGGACACACTGTATGTGGGATTTATAATTATTTTTTATTTCACCCTTATTTTACCAGGTATTATAATTACTAATTGGCACTAATCAGCTAATTACGGTTTCAAGTCCTACATAAGCAGCAACGAGAGGCAATTCCTCTGTCATGGATAGACATCAATTTTAGCAACCTTAGCCTACTAAGGACAAGTGGTAAACTATGTAATAACCTAATGTTTATCCCATATTTTGAAGTGTGACAAGAGCTTAGATGGTCAACAACAGAGCAGTGTTGAAACGGAATGATAAAACAGCAAAGGTGCATTCAAATTGTTGAACACATTCACAGCTAACAAGGTTTTGATGTTTTTCTGGAAAGGTTTAATTGTAATTATTTTAATTTTGAAACTGTAAATTGTCATGTTATTGTCATTGCAACCTATAGGCTGCCATATTTAGCTGAATTCTCAATTTGAATGTGAACATTTACAAATATACCGCAATTGAATCATCTAGAAAGATTGAACAGTTGAGATACATTTAAAGAAGTTAGGGTAATGTGTGGCATGATAAAGTAGGGGGAAGGGAAATGTAAAACAGTTAAGCAAATAGCAATATAAAGCTTTAAAAGAACAGTAGAGCTCTGATATTGAATAAAACAGCATCACAAATGGAAAAAGAACAGCAGAAAAACCTCTGAGATTACTTAACAAAACACTTGGCAAATATGAGCATAATCTCCTTTTCTCAATGAACTGTTGGAGTCGTGATCCTGTGGACAATAACAGTAGTCAACAATGTAGGCCTATACGTGAATATAAAAAACTATTTGGTCACATACCAACTCATAAAAAAATTATGCCATGAAATCATGCATATCGTATCGTTTGTAAACAGAAGTAATAAATAAATACATAAATAAATAAATAAATTAAAGAAACCCCCAAATACTTGTATAAAAAGGTCAATGCATGTCTATGCTCTAATTGAGTTCAATGCTCTCCCTGACTTTTCTGGTTAAATGCCTAGGTCAGGTCCTACAGTTGTACCATATCCCTATGGACTCTTTTTTTTAAGAACCTGGTTTCATTTATTGTATGTTTTCGTTCATATTTTTTAAGTATTTAAAGTTTCATTTTTATTCAGTCCTTGTAGATAGAAGTAAAAGTCCTATAAAATATGCAAACCTATGTACAGAGGAAAACAGAGCAACAAAAACATTTACAGTATATTCATCGGTTTATGTATATATTTCTATATTTTTATATTCAAACTTCTGCTTTGTTTCTCATTGTTTTTTAACCACTTTTCTCTCAATTTATATATAAACAGTTGCAGCTGAAAGTTAGAGCTTGTGAAAGAGGTGCTCAATTCCAGTCATTCCCCTCCCTCTGCCTTCATTCGCTCAATTAGAAAGCATTGGGATAGGTGTAAGAAACGCACTAATAGCTCTATAGCCTATTTGAAAGGCTAAAGGAGTTTCCCCCATATTGCTGACACCTATCCAGTACTCACAGGTCTTGGAGTGCGGGTGAAACTAAGCAGAGAGAGGGGAGCAAGCAGGGAAATAAGACAAAACAAAATGGTGAGTAAGGGATGAATTTCAAGGGGAAAGTGTACATGAAAGCAGAGAGAGAGAGTGAGCTGAGTAAAAGTTGGTATGGAGAGAAGTGAAGGCCTCTTTTTTTTTAAGGAGAGGAGAAGACACATTGAAGTGACTTAGGAGCCAAATCCTAACTTGAGATACTCATAAAACTTCGAATTTCAAGTAAATCATAAATTGATTAATGTTAATAAGAAAATCTCAAGAGGGTTGACCCTTTATAAATAATGGGGAGAGGCGTTTTGGAAACACTTGACTTGACAAACCCAGCTAAATATGGATGTGTCAAGAAGAGTTTTAATGACATCTTTAGGCCTGTTTGCATTGGAGGAGACAGGGTGATATGGACCTTGTTGCAGGGATGTAGTAGAGGCTAATTGCTGGTAAACACAGTTTTGATATGATGTATAGCAGTTATGCACCTAATGGGTTAAATTAGCACTGTTAGCATTGGCGTTGGGATCTGCCTGGCGGTCTCGACCGGCGTTCAGTGTTTACCCACCTTTTATTCACCACTACATCCCTGTCTGTTAGGAAAGTTAGACGCAGGCACGGGAATGGTGTGGCGAGAAACAGTTGCAGAGCTCCATACAACAATGGCTGAATTGGTGCTGGCTGTTGACATTAAAAAACACTTCCTGGTTCCTTTGTGTACAGTAGAAAAACCACTTCTCTAAGTCTGCAATTTGTTTTAACATCATAAAACTTCACCAATAAGTTATAACCATACAATTCGCAATGTCAGGCGTTTAACCTCTGTTATCATCAATTTATTTTAGATCAAACCCAATGGAACCCAGCCTCAAGGTTTCTTATACTTGCACAACATTTCCAAGCACTCCCTTTAGGTAGTACCTGTTCTAGCGGAGAGTACATAATGCCCACTTTGATGGAAAGTGTAAAGACAAATAAACATGAGACTGTGTCTGTCCGAGTACTTAATGCTAATCCAGGTAGTTCATGGTAGTTTATGGATGTGTGAGAGGACAATGATGGTCTTAACATCTGAATGATTTGTTAGCTTTGACATGCTTTACTGCTAAAGCTCTCTATGGAGATGTGAAATGACATGACTGATGTGACTGCAGTATTGACATCATCGTAGCGCGTTGGCTGCTTGCAGTAGTTTTTTGAGTAGGATTGCAAAATTCCTGGAACGTTCAATAAATTCCCTTGTTTTCCAGAAAATCCTGTTTGGAGGATTCCGGATTTCCTGCTTATTCCCTCCTGATTCCGGGAACCTCCAACCGGGATTTCTGGAAAACTAGGGAATTTGTTGAAAGTTCCAGGAATTTTGCAACCCTAGTTTTGAGAGCACAGTTCTTGATGGCAGATTCTGCAGGTGACAAGGCACACCTGTGGTGACAGCCCATACGCTACATGCACTTACTTACTGAATGCAATTGAGAGAAAAGGTCATGGTATTCATTCATTTTGGTTCAAGTTTCAAAGATCACACTTAGTTTGTACGTGCTAAGTCTGTGTAGTGTACCGTGAAGCTAAAAAGATAGGTTTGGAATCGAGTCGAAGATGTTTGTTCTTTACCTCTAATATTAATTTAGCCCGATTTCTCTTCAAGCCTGCTACTGAGAAGTGGCTTTTTTGCATTTTCAGATAGTAGGTACACCTACATATGTGAAGCTTCACACCAATGAAGGCTGCTGAGGGGAGGACGGCTCATAATAATGGCTGGGACGGAGGAATGAAATGGTATTTGGTACCATTCCACCTACTCCACTCCAGCCATTACCACGAGCCCGTCCTCCCCAATTAAGGTGCCACCAACCTCCTGTGCTTCACACATATATTTAGGAATACCTGTGCATCAGCATATATAGTTTAACAGAGAGCGGAATGCCTGCAGTTTTGGGAGCCGCCAGATTTGCGCTTCTTCCCAAGTAGAGCAGAGTTTCAAACTCCAGCTAAAATCTACAAAGAAATGACAGCTCAACATAGTCAATAGCCGTTCTATATACAGACACACATACATAAACTATGTGCATATAAATACATATATTAGTTTAATTAATATCTTTATCCAGATATACTGTATATATATATATATATATATATATATATATATATATATATATATATATATATATATATATATATATATATATGAATACATTAGCTTCAATGTGTGTAATACATATATATATACATATACCCTACCGGTCAAAAGTTTTAGAACACCTACTCATTCAAGGGTTTTTCTTTATTTTTTACAATTTTCTACATTGTAGAATAATAGTGAAGACATCAAAACTATGAAATAACACATATGGAATCATGTAGTAACCAAAAAAGTGTTAAACAAATCAAAATATATTTTATATTTGAGATTCTTCAAATAGCCACCCTTTGCCTTGATGACAGCT